TTGCAACACAATAAGGTCATATAAGTGCCGAAGATTAGAGGTGTTACAAGAGAGTAACAAACATTTTAAAAAAGGAAGGGAGATAAAGACAATAGATGTTTGATTGGAAAGAAGAAGCAAACAACACCAGAGCACCCGCCAACCACCCAGGCTATCCTACACAGCGTCCTTATAATGTAAAAAAAAATTAATTAATAAATACACGGGGGATAATGGGAAGGGGCCATTTGTACAGGTGATTGTCTAATACAGATGTCTGTTAACACGTTGCAGTCACACACAGCCACCAGTACAAAATACCCCCATCTGATAACCCAGCCAGGAGAGCGACTGCAACAGACTTTTCATGCCTGGCGTAGAACTGCGCCCGGTGACCAGAACGGATAATTTTCCACGTCGCATTATTGCGCCAAGTGACTGCAAAGTGTTAAAGCAGGTTTTACTATACAAACTGTATACAACAACAACGAATGAAACGGTTAGGATATCTGTCAAAAGGCTACCACCAGACAGCATTGCAGCGATTGCATACAAAAAGAGATCAGATGGACACAGAGGAAGGGGCAGACTCAGGAAAAGATGGACAGAGGGAGTCAGAGAAATACTAGTAAATAAATACAACAACATAACCATGTAACAGGCATTTGTTCCTCCCCTCGACACCGTAAGGCAATAGAAGCGGGAAAAAGTAAAATAAGCAATAAAGCTGGCAAAACTAGTTACTTCTCACAATCCCCAAAAGGAGATGACTTTCAATAAACATTTTCCCAACTTTCCTTTAACCCTATCCGTACGTCGTGTTTTACTATCATATCCATACAACATGGGGAACTCTGTGCCACCACTTTCCAAAGAGGAAATTACTCGTTAATCTGATCCGTACACTTTGCATAGCAGTCTGCTAAAATGATTTTTTGAGAAATACTGAAAGTTTCAAAGAGATCTTTGTACTAGAAGTATTCTAAAATGTGAAGAATACAACCCCGGGGGTACAACATGACCTCAGGGCGTACAATAGAGTTAAAAAGTTTGAGTGAAACAAATCGTGCATACTGACCTCCCATATGTTCTGTTTAGTTTTAGTACAAGTTTTATGGCATTTGCAACACAAATAGGTCAAACAAGTACCGAAGATTAGAGGTGTTACTAGAAAGTAACAAACACACAAAAGAAGGAGGAAAGATAAGGACGATGGATGTTTGATAGGAATTAAGAAGCAAACCACATCACAGCACCCATCAACCACCCCAATGACCCGTCTGCTGCGTACTGACCTCCCCCATAACCTGTTTATTCCCTTTGAGCAGGTCGCCGAGTGCAGCGTCGTACTCCCGCCTCAGCGTCTGGGCAGCGAAGGAAGTGGCGTGGGCGGCTGCCAGGGCTGGGAACAGTTTGTACTGCTGGGTCTGGTAGTCCAGGATTTGAACCTCCTCCCCTCTGGCATGTTGAGGTGGTGGTGGTGGTGGTAGAAGTGGAGAAAATACAGAAATAAGATCAGTTGCATTGTACTGATAAGCTTCTCATCACCTCAAACAAACAAAAGGGGGCTCTCGCGGCCTAGAGGTCAAGGTGTTTGCCTCTCATTCTATTGGTCCTGAGTTCGAATCCGGATTGCGACGGAAATTTTCTTCTGTAAAATGTTCTCCTTTCACATCCTTTCCTATTCTTTAACAATGTTCTGGCGTCTGCTTTCATTCCACTTTCTGCCTCCACCCCTTCACCTCCTTTGCCCCCCCTCTGGGCTCCCGACTCTTTCTGCAGCCTTTCTACAGCTTCTCAATGGCTTTTTCTTACTGCTGTCTTTCAGCCACACCCCTGATCTTATGGTAGGTAAGATATACATCTAGCCTTCTCGGACAAGGGCGAAAAATCTCAGAGGACCCATGTGCAAGTTGCGCATGTTAAAGATCCCTTGGTGATCCAAAATCTATAAGAGTAGGCTTCGACCGCCGCCAAGGCAAAATTCAGAATTTCCTACAAACTGAAAATGTTTGGTGTGTCCCGCGCACTCATATGACCTTATGCAGTTGCGAGCGCCATGAAAAATTTACACAAAAAAACCCAACAAACAAACAAATAAACAAAACCCTCCTCAAGACTCTCACAGACAAACAGGCAACTCTCACCCCGGTTTGAGCGAGGACTGTCTGCGAGCGGCGCTGTAGCGGACGGCCATGACAGTGCCAGGCAGGAGGGTGAAGGCCGACCATTGGACGATCTGTACCCGCACATACATCATGGTGGAGTAGTTGGACTTGTCGGCTCGCAGCATCTGGAACTTTCCCTCTCTTGTTACCTACGGTAAATAATCATAATAATAATGATAATAATGATAATAACAATAATAATGACAATAACAACAATAATAATAATAAC